TGAGTCGATGCAATCAGCTGGTTTTCCTTAGATAGAAAACTTTGAACCAATTTGACTGGATGATCTGGTTAAATTGGATCTATAAAGTGACCCGAGATGACATGTTGTGGGTTGGAGCTATAGAAACAAAATGAATAGAATTGAACCTCTACCTCATCATGGGAGCTGTGAGAAGACCCATGTCTCTGTCCTTCACCACTGCAAGCCAGTCCTTAGAGTCCTGAGCAAACCAGATCTTTCCAGCATCAGTTGCAGTTTATCTAAGCTGGAAGAGAAGCTCTGTGATCCAGAGCAGATCTGGGACAGTCTTCCTCTCATTAAACACAGTCCACCTTTTACTTTGTAGGAAACTGTAGAAGACCAGAACGCCTAACCAGGAGGGATGACTGCCTGACTAAAGGAGCCCAGCAGTCTAGAGCAGAGTGTGAACATCTGAGCTTTCCAGTACCAGAGAGAGTCTGTCCTCTGCAGACACACTGGGAGGACTTTGCTGCTGGTCCACTGCTCTGTGGCCTGATGCGGGAATAATCCTCCTGTCTCTAATTTAGACAAAATAAGGAAACCGTCAAGGGCTGGAAACCTTGGACCCAATATTCAACAGACAGAGCTGGATGAGTACCAACAGTCTTTATTTAAAAAAACAGCGTATGACAGCGTGTTGAAAGTATTGAAAATTAAAGACCAATACTGTTCTGTTTAGTGTTTAAGAAATTACTAATAAACAGTTGATGAAAAGTTGCTGGCCTTCAGTGTGTGTGTATGGGGCATGGTGCGGGTTTGTTGTTCCCAGGGTGTGTGTGTGGGGGGGGTCATCTCCCTGAAATGAGTTGGGATGTCTGCAACCAGCTCTGATCAACCAGTCGCCTGGATCGCTGGTTGATCAGAGCATCGCTGCACAGGTTTCACCAGCAGCCTCCTCCTCCTTTCTTATCCCTGGTCTGTTTGGCTTAAACCATTATTTTCAATAAACCGTTTTGGATTTTTAGATCATTTCCGTAGAACCGATTTCTTTGTTTTATCACAGACTTTTAATTTGAAGTTTCTACCGGATATGGCAGTTTGACGTTCCGCTTTACTTCCGGTCTGCGTTCCTCTTAGCGGAGGAATGTGTCCTGCTGTCTGACCGATGGTCAGAAAACGATGCCGGTTCCCTCCTCCTCCCGCAGCGGTGAGTGTTTGGGGGCCGGGGGGCCAGGTGTGCCGGGGGCCGGGGGCCAGGGGCCGCTGCTGGAAGCCGCCATCTTGCTGGGAGCCAGGGATGCTAAGCTAAGTGCTGCTAGCTAGCAGTGAGCTGGAGATAACCTTCCTGTTTGATCCGCAGCCTTCAGGCTTCCTCTGCGCTGAGATGCTGAGGCTTTATTTGGATTATAAACATTTAAAGATAGAAACTTAGAAACTTATAACCATGAGAACAGAGCTAAGGATGCTAATGCTAACCCAGCCTCTGTTAATAACATCTTCGTTCTCCACTCATGTTATTGAACTGGTTTATCTTTCATTTAATGGAGCCTGTAAAGATCAAAGCAATGTTTCTTTGATGTTAAACACAAAGGGACCGCCGCGAGTCTCTATAGTGTGAATATTTCATCCAGGCTCTTATTGTCACTGGATCCTGCAGGTCAGCTGATCTCCTCATGTTCTCCTCTGTAACAGGAGGAACCTTAGAGCTTCAGCTGCCTTGACTTTTTATTTATAACTCTTCTACATTTCCACCAAACGGAAAAATACTCAAATAAAGAATATATATTAGTTTTATTACCTTAGCTTATGATTCTGACTGGAAAAGCGTTTCAGAAATAAAGTAGAATCCTGGGTAGTTTCTATGTGACAACATTAATATTTTATTTTATTGCATCTTTAAGTTAGTTCACATATGCGGAACATGTAAATAACGATGAGTTGGGCTGTTGTTGTTTATTTACTAACGTCTGTTGTTGTTTATTTACTAACGTCTGTTGTTGTTTATTTACTAACGTCTGTTGTTGTTTATTTACTAATGTCTGTTGTTGTTTAT